TAAATGTCCGCTGAGGCATCTGACATCTGCTAACTCAACCACCATCACTCCGATATGCTGCCATCTTGGCTTGTACATCTTGTAAATTCGAATGATAAACGGGCCGACGATTAATCGCCTTGAAGTCAGAAGGGAAGTCGATACCCAGAGCCTAGGAGGCAGAACCTAACACTCTGAATAACTATTTTCTATCGTTCGAAAATAGGGAAGTAAATACCGTTCCAATTAACAGTTTTTCGGGAGCAGTGGTTGTCAACCGTGAAATCGGCATGTCGTCGTACATCGTTTCAGCTGACAGCGTACGTCGACCGTTCAAGAACATCAAAACTTCCGCCACAGCTAGGTCATACAACTTAGATCTAATGGACTCAAAACTTGGCGCCGACTCATTTGACAAATTCTTTGACAGATACCGAACGTACGGTGTCGTAGTTATGGCAGATGATGCGAATAACTCTTATGCCTAAATTCTCTTAGGCGGTCTACATCAACTGAGTGAACAGAACCCATTACAGTAATTGCTAATCATCTACCGTCTAATTGCTTTTAAATACTTGAAGAGAATCGTTACACGTTACATTTACTCAAACCTGTTATGGCATATCACTCCTGTGGCAAATCGTGCATTTGCTGGATGTTAGCACTTTGCAAGCGCTGATTAGTTCTCAACACCACTGTCCGGAAAGCACTAGTAAGAAAGGCATTTCTGGACTGCAACTCAGCCTTCAACCCGCAGCACTTTGTTCAGAACTGTTGGCCATTCAGCATCCGTGCACAGTCTTGCAATGTCAGCCCATTGGCTGCGCGTTACTCGAAATCCGGACAGTTATTCAAGTCGACAAGAAGAAATCTATAGCTTTTGTAATGACGCGACCGGAAGCACAGGGATCCTGTTTATTACCTGCACGGTTGCTTATGTAACACACGCCACGATGTCATCCACTCGAATACTATTCCAGTATTACCACGTTAGCTTCACTGAAACCATACCTGATTTACTGCATTTCTTCGTCTGTTTAAGGCGAAGGGTGTGTGGGGGGGGACTCGCCTAACACTTTGTCGCAAGAAATCAGTGCGGTGTAATTTCCATCCAATGGTCTGTAAACAGAGCCGGTATGGAACTCGCTTATCAAACTGTCTGAGAAAAACCTCAACGGTAAAATGCATATGCTTGACTGTGGACGATAGCGTCGGCTAGGCCCAACAGAATAATGCAAAAGCTGATAAAAGGCAGATTGAGGAATCATGCACTGGTTCAGCAGTATTCTAACACTTCAAAAATTCTGAATTCTACCGGTCCTTTCCTCTAACTCAGAAGACTGCTTAAGCAGGCCGCAGCTCCATTGTTCCAATGCATGGCCGCAAAACAGAACCCTTATGTTCGGGTGAAAAATACATATTTTCAAACACCAATGAATATACGTCTAAATACACGCCTTGTAAATCCGGACAATTGACAAAGGGAGTGCCGGCAGTATCGAAATCGAGCAGCTTACTTGCAAATCTATAACACCGGAGTTTATTTTTGGTACGAAGTAGAATAATAGCGGAGAAGAAAAGAATAAATAATGGGAGAAGAAAAAATGAAGAAAAGCAAAATGAGGAAAAAAAAGTTAAACAAATGAATAACAGAAGATCATGAGGAACTACGGTATAAACAAAAAGCAAAACGAGTCCGTTCAGTTACAGTTTATATGATTAACTACTGAAAATTCGGATCCGCCGGTAATTTCGTTGGATCATGCGCTGACTGTCTGATCACTCGATACTTTTATTCGGTCCAACCCTTGAATGACACGGTAAGCGTCCAGCTGCTGCATTAGCAGGATAAAAAATGAATGAACGGCGTAAAAATGTGGAACCATACACGAAGAGGTTCCAAAATAGTCACTCCGTTGCAACGTCCCTTATCACACACCTTCTTAGAGGGATTTACAGTTACGTTGCAAGGAGGATGACGAGCTTCTGTCGTTTTAAGGTGTGATTTTGCCGACACCCGGCATGACTTCAGATGCCATGGCTCGTGGACATGTGTCTGTGGTCCTCAATGCTTTGACAGCTGACCTCGAGTGATGTGAAGAAGAAGAAGTGAAAAATGTTGAAATGAAAAATGCCTGGGCATAATTTATGAAAAACCGATCATTGCTCGACCAGAGAGAATTTAGACTCGGCTCCAAGAGAGAGCAAGTGAGGGAGGGAGGACGTAAACAACCCGCGGGAACCTACCGATGGCTGTATGAGTCCACGAACTTCGTTGGAGCAACGTGGATAGGGAGGTACGATTCTGTGGCGAATTCTCGGAGAGGTCTCCATGCATGCAATACTTAATGAAGAGAAGTTAATCATGATCATTTTCTTAATAAAAAAAATGCTTCTAATTCGATGGCCATAGATAGTAGGTATGTTTAAAGTCGACCGACCTTAACTTACATCAGCTGGCTCATGCTGCGTAGGTCTGTACAACACTGGCCCCCGCCACCGCGCAGTTCACCGATATACCATTGCGACTGTAAAGCTACCGATAAATAGGCCAGGTAGGAACCTCAAGTAAATGCCCTGAACAATAAAGAACTGTCCTTCTGATGCAGGCTTAACTGAGCCTTATATTTTGTCCATAGTTCCCTAAGTCACCCGCATACTTCTGCTCTGTGAACCGGAAACAGCGGTCGCGTATTCAAAGGTTTGTACAATTACAATGCAAATGAGTTGAACACTTGCCTGAATGATGAGCTCGTACGAAAAATAATTTGCTATTAGGAAACTGAGTCTTCCTCATCCCTCTACCCTTACGCACAGATCTTCGATAGAATCTCAAATCTATTCGTCAGCGGATGTCGTACCAAGACGCATAAAAGATAAAGATCAGCAATTCGTTATATCTAGTCATATTATCACGATCATCATCAAGGAGAGAAACGACGGATTCGTGGAACAGACTGCACATAACGTTAACATTAATCGTCTATTACTTGCAACTGTGCTTTACACTTATGGATGGATTGATGTGTGAGTAACGGAAACTTGTGGTCGTGTTCTTTCGACGACATTTAGGTAATTTGAATTAAGAACAGAACAACGCCGACCTGACCGGGGTTTCTAACTTTTTCACCAGTTGTACAGCAAGCAGAAGGAACAGAAGTTTAAAATTAAAATTAAAGGTCATTTAGCGCCAATGTACGTTTGTCACTCAAACATAAACCATTTGATTTCGTGTACAGCTCCAACATGTAAATATTCCTTAACAAGACTCATAATCACTCAGTCACTCAATAAGCGACACCATTTGACACAACGGCTGAGTAAGTTTTGCATAAAATTTAAATAGAACTTGTTTTCCACCGGCAGGCACGATGCAAATGCACATGCCGTTTCTCGCAACAGCACACACAGACAGAGACAACAGAAGCAGGTGGCTGACAGATGAGTGCCTAAGCACGATTTCCGATCGCGTTGCAAAACAAAACCTGCAATGAACTTTGCCGCGGTGAAGCATTGAAAAGAACTTTTCAAATTGACAGCATACGCGTGTGAAGTAGACCGCCACTTCTGCTACACACCCCGCCCACGTGTTGGTCGAGGTTGAGGTCGAAGTCGAGGCCGAGGTCGAGGATGAGGTCGAGATCGAGGTCGATAAAGTGATGCCGCCTACTGATCATTCTGGCACATTCAAGATCAGTAAACGAGTAAAAACTAAACTTTTGAGTACTTAAAAAACAACTGAAATAGGCAATAAGTATGTTGGCAAATTGAAGATCAGTCGAATAGTTGACCTTGCAGTTCATCAATCGTAAACGAATAATGACGTCAGCTAGTGGCCACTGGTTGTCATAAAAATCGATTCGTTTAAATCTGCTCAACTCTGCTTGACGAATGAAACATCCGTCTTTATCGCCATAGTAGAACTCTGTCATTGTCAACCGTCGCCAATACGCAATTCCAGTTGGTGACGGACTATAACGAATGACGTGAATTTGTTTGTTGTTTACAAGGGGGACACAACCGTTTTGTTTACTGAACGGAAGGATCACTTTCTAATGAACAACGGACAATGCTATCTAATGAGGTGGTGACTCACTAATATCGGCCTTAATTACAAAACTTGCCAAGTGACAACGTCCGAAGACAACTAAAGCATGAAAAAACAAATCAAAGATTAACGGCCTCTAAACGACAGATTTTGTCCCTCAAAGCAGGAGAGACTGGACCTTCATTACCGACAGACAAGAAATGCTAAACGAACTTGAGTATTTCTATAGAAAACTGTACAAAGGTGAAAAGAGCAATATCCAAGATGGCGATAAGCAGCTTGAAGATACAAATGAATTTCACAACGTTGCAGATATCTTACCCCCCAGAAGCATGGCCATACGAAAGAAAACAGTCGACGTAACGAAGGGCTGGCTCCAGACGATTGCGTATTCAGTGGAACTGATCGAATCTAAAGATTAACGATTGATCAAAATATCACAGCGCTTTGTACACACGCCGTCTGAAGGAACTGAAAATTGAAGACTATTGACGATTCTACTCCACAAATGGGTAGACAGAAAGGATTTGAAGAATTACCAGACAGATCAATTTCTTACCAATCCTTGGAAAGATCTTCACGAAGGAACTGATGAACAGACTTCATGAAAAACTAGACTCTGTACGGCAAAAGGAACAAGCAGGATTTAGAAATGGATACAGTACGATGGATCATCTCTAGCTGTTACAGTAAATAATTCCGACAAGTAACGAATATTAATTTCTTCCGTAGGTCCAGGTGATCAATTTCTAGATGAATTTCGATCTAAAGTACAGTAAACTACATTTGTTTTGTACTGAATTCCGTGAGCAGTAAGGGAAGTTGGAAATGACACAG